CAGATCTCACTGTGTAAATCTGGCTGGCCTAGAACTTGCTATGTAGAGCAGATTGGCCTAGAACTCACAGAGATCCCTCTGCCTGTCTTGTGAGTGCCAGGATTAAACAGTGTGGGCCACCACACCACTGGGACCAGTTTTTAGGATTTGTTTTGAAGGAGGACTTTGTGGAAAAAACACAAAGGTCTAAAGGATTATGTAACTTGAGCCCCTGGCCCATTCTGGGAAAAGGGTGCCCAAGGGGCCTGGGCGGAAAGGGCCTCTGTGAACCAGTCACTCAAGAGGCTAGAAGGCAAAGAGAGGAAGGTCTTACGGTGAGTCAGTGCTGGGGCCACCCTGGGCTCCCTGTTTCTCCCATATCTGTGTCTATTCCCACGCCCCAGGGTGGCCAGGGCTGCCTGACTTAGCTTATGGTGTCCCTTCCTCTTTGTAGCTTAATGGGTCATCCAGATGGCCGTGGCAGTTCCTCCACCAAGCAGGAGGGGGAAAGGAAGGGCCCAGCTCTGATTAGTCCTCAGGCAATGTCCGTATGATGTAGAAATAGGCCCCTAAGATGGGAAGATCTCACACACACACACACACACACACACACACACACACACACACGCACGCACACATGCAAGTGCACACGCATCCACATCCCAGACTCCCATAGAACCCTTTTCAGAGAACAGAAGAGGGCCTTGAAGAGAGGAATGGGGGTAAAAAAGCACTTAGTAAAGAGGAGTGGAGTGATGGGGTTTAGAAGGCACCAATCTAAGAAGAAGATGGAGCTATCTCTGCATGGTGGTGCAGGCCTGTAATCCCAGTACTCTCCAAACCAGTGCAAGAGGATTGTAAATTTAAGGCCAGACTAAGCTATGTAGCAAAACTGTCTTCTTCTTCTTCTTCTTCTTCTTTTTTTTTTTTTTGTTTGTTTTTTCGAGACAGGGTTTCTCTGCGGCTTTGGAGCCTGTCCTGGAACTAGCTCTGTAGACCAGGCTGGTCTGGAACTCACAGAGATCCTCTGCCTCCCGAGTGCTGGGATTAAAGGCGTGCGCCACCATCGCCCGGCTTCTTTTTTGTTTTGTTTTGTTTTTTTGAGACAGGGTTTCTCTGTGTAGCTTTGGCTGTCCTGGAACTTACTCTGTAGAGCAGGTTGACCTCAAACTCAGAGATCCGCCTGCCTCTGACTCCTGAGTGCTGGGATTAAACAGGTGCGCCACCACTGCCTGGCAGAGACTGTCTTCTCAATAGCAAAAGACAAAACAAAATGTACTGAACACCTACTTTGTTCTGGAAGCTGTTCTGAATTGAGGACTCAGCTAGAAAAGAATAATTACATATAAATTTAGAAGTTTGCTAAAACCTTCTCGGGGATCCTAGACTCCCTAGTAGGCCCTTCAGCAACAGGGATTAGGAGATGGCCCTGAGCCAAGAGGTGGTGGCACGCCTTTAATCCAGCCCTCAGGAGACAGCCAGATCTCTGAGTTTGAGGTCAGCCTGGCCCATACAGTGAGTTCTAGGACAGCCAGGGCTATACAGAGAAAGCCTGTCTCTAAAAAACAAAATCAAATCAAACCAAAACAAAAAGAGGACCCTGGGCTGGGACTCCAGGAGCCCCGTGTCATTACCCTGATTACCATGGAAGCCTGGGCCTCAGTTGGGGAGTCTGGGAATGAGACGAGGGGCTCTGAGAGAGGACTCAGTGGGTAAAAGCACGTACTGCTCTCCCAGGGGAACCCAATTCCATTCCCAGCTCCATCAGGTAGCTCACAAACACCTCAAATACTAGCTCCAGGGCTCCAGTGCCCTCTGCTGTCCTCCATGGGCACTGTACTCATGTGCACATTCCCCCCTCCCTGCACACACAAATACACACAATTAAAAATGAAAATGAGCGGGAAGATGTTGTCCAAAGTAGATGATGAACCTCATCCAACTGCACATTTTCAGAAGTGGCCCTGGAAGAGCTGTTCTTCATAATCTGGACATTTGTCATAATTTAAGACATCTGGGTGGCACATGCTCTCCCCCTCTGATGGCTAGTCCTGCTTGTCAACTTGACTATAACTAATGAATCTAGAAACGAAGGGCACATTAGTGATCTGGATCTTGAGGCAAGAAAACACAGACCTTTAATCTGGGCCACACCTTCTCCTGGAAGCAGATATAAGGACAATGGAAGGAGGAAGGGCTCATCTTTCACCTGCTTGCCCCTGCCTCATCAGCCCACCCATTCCTCCTTCGGGGTCCCTGCAGAGCAGCTGAGACACCCAGCCTCATGGGACTGAGCAGCTACTGATTCTTGGACTTTCCATTTACGACTAGCCATTGTTGGACTCAGCCTCTAAGTCATTCCAATACATTTAAATTCCCCTTATCTACTCATTCCACAAATCCTGTGATTCTAGAGAGCCCTGGCTGGTACACCCCCTTCCTTCTGTCCAGTAGTGGGCATCAGACCCAGGGTCTTTCTTGCAAAAGCTAGGCAAGTACTTTGCCAAATCCAGTTATACCCAGTCCCTCTGACGTACATCATATTTATTTTTGTACATTTTGAGTCAGGACTCACTGAGTCGCCCAGGCTGACCTAGAACATTCCATCCTCCTGCTTCAGCCTCCCGAGTGTTGCCATGACAGTGTGACACCAGGCCCAGCTGCCATTAATATAAAGCCTTGGTCCCCCGCTGCAGGAAGTTGAACAAAGACACCAAGGGAGAAGGCCAGGGTCCCCTGGCTATGTCCCCAGTGTTTCCCTCTTGCTAGCTACCACCCTTCTGCTCCTATGCCTTCTGTCCCTTCTGGTCCCCAACTACCCATCCTCACGCCACCATCCAGGAATTTCTCTCAATTCAGTCCTGACTTTGTTTATATGATTTTGCTCCCTGCTGGGTAAGGGAGGACAGTCTGGGAAAAGTCCTTAAAGTTCCTTCCTCAGACAGCTCCCTGGGGACACTTACCCTCTGCTGGAGGAAGCGGTGCTGCTTGAGAACCAATGGCAGCAGCCTATACTGCAGGCTGAGGAGCCCTGTGTCACCCGGCTGGAACTAAGACTAAGACTAATGCGCACAGGGCGGGGAGGGCATCTGTGGGACTTGCACTTCCAACACCTCCAGATGTCACTTCTTGTGCTTTACACTCAGGATTCACACAGCAAGCTGGGGACACAGCCCACCTTGCTCAGAATCACCCAGTGACAGGTCTGAGGTGTGACTCGGCGGTAGAGTCCTTGACTAGAATCCTCGAGTGAGGATCTAGGCCTCTTCAGTGTTGGAGCAAGTGGCCTAGCAGGGGAAATGTTTCAGGATCCATCTTCAACTATGAAAACAAAGGAAGATCAGGAGTTCCAAGGCCAGCCTCGGCTATACAGTGAGTCCGGACTGAGGCTAGGCTAACTGAAACATAGCTTTTTTTTTTTTAATTTGTTTTTATGTTCATTGGTGTTTTGCCTGCATGTATGTCTGTTTGAGGGTGTCAGAAGCCCTGGATCTGGAGTTAGACAGGTGTGAGCTGTCACGTGGGTACTGGGACTTGAACCTGGGTCCTCTGGAGGAGCAGTCAGTACTCTTGACCACTGAGTCATCTCTACAGCCCCTGAGACCCAACTTTTAAAAAAATTATAAAAAAAAGTAATTTAAAACTGATTTCCTGAGGGGTTTGAGTCACTCCTCCTTCAGAGGAGAGTGAGTAAAGCGGCCAGGTCTTTGTGACTACGCGGTGAGTCTCTTCGCTCCCCGGTGAGCGACCTAACCCGCGGAGGAAGCTGTACCCGGGACTCATTAGACTTAATTGGAACTTAACGAGGCGCCTCCTATGGGCTGGGACGCCGACTCGGTACGTGACATCACGCAGGAGCGTGGTGGCGTCACTACGCCGGGAATAGGGCCCCGGCCACGCTCCCACGAGCGGCCGTTAAACGGCACCGCCCTCTGACGCCTCACTTCCGCTGTGTATTTGCATACTTAACGAACGGACGTCGAGGCGTCGACGCGGTGACGTCACAGAGCGCCCCTGCAGAGAAACACCCTTTTTCTCTCCCTCCCACCCCGCACCCCCCTCCCCCCGCGAGCGTGCCGACGCGCGCTCGTACGTAGGTACGAAGGCGAGTCCCTCCTTACGCAGACACGCACGGCCCACCGGCGGGCGGGAGCGGAGCGGCGAGGTCAGCGGCGCCCCGCCCAGTCAGCCAGCAAGGTTGCGCGTGCCCAGGGCGACCGCCAAGATGGTGGTGGGCGCGTTCCCCATGGCGAAGCTGTTCTACCTGGGCATCCGGCAGGTCAGCAAGCCGCTGGCCAACCGCATCAAGGAGGCCGCCCGCCGCAGCGAGTTCTTCAAGACCTACATCTGCCTGCCCCCAGCCCAGCGTGAGTCTCACCCCGCAGTCCCTAGCCCTTCCATTCTTACCCCTCTCTCAGGTGGTTGCTCAGGGGCATGGCTTCCAGCCCTGACCAATCCCGGCTCGAACCGGCAAAACCGTAGAACCAATGGGGATGGCTTCTGCTAGAGGGGCATGGTACTTGTCCAATAGTGAAGAAGGGCGTGCGGTCAGGGGCGGTACCGCGCGATTTGGAATGCAGACCAATAGGGAAGAGGGTTTGTGGCAGTTGACGTCTACGAGAACCAATAGGATGAAGGATGAAAGCCATTAGGGTGGGCTTACCTGTCACTAGTTAGGGGCGGGACTGACAAGCCTACTAGGATTTCTTGCCTAGCTATTCTGGACACTTTACTCCGCAAACCCCATCCTCTTCCTAAGTTTCCCTGCTGCCCACTGGGTACTTGCATATCATTCTGGGTTTAGAGCACGGTATTTCTGGCTTAGTTTTTCTCTGGACCTGAGTTAGGGGCGTGATGGTGATAGTGGTGGAATCTGGGGTCCTGGGGAGCCCTGCGACCTGGCAAAAGGATGAACCCAGAGTAGACATCCATCCGAGTGTTTATGAGTTTCCTCATACCCATCCATTCGTTCGGTAGCCACACCGTGCAAGCCGTTTGGCTGGGCACTATCAGATATGGTCCTAATATGGCAGCGGTATTACAGAACTATCAGGGACCGTGGGCAGTCTGGAGTTCAGAGCAACCGGGTAAGCCAAGGGAGCCTCCTGAGCAGAGAGCTCACTGTCATCGCAAAACGCACCAAATATGAGCTCTGGGAAAAAGCAGAGACGAGGGAAAGGCTTTGTAACTTGCTGAGCAGGGAACTACCGTTCATCCATAGCCCTGTGTAGCCTGTTTATGAAGGGTGTCTGTTTTGTGTGTGACCTGAGCTGACCCTGCTTATGGAACAACAGGGTTTACAACAGTACCTGTCTGTCAACCGAAGGAGACCCTGTGACGATCTAGAGGGAAGGAACATGAACAAAGACCAAATAGCTAAGAGGAACCTTATCATTTTTCCTCTCGCTATGTGTTTTGCAGTTCTTGGTCCTTTTGGTGTTTGGTAAAGTTTCTGCTTGGGCTACAGACCTTACAGTGGAAAAGTGTTGGATTTTGAAGCCAGTCATGGTGGTGCATACTCATATCTCAGTATTTGGGAGATTGTGGCAGTAAGAGCCAAAGATCAGGGCCAGCTTCAGGTACCTTAGTGAGTTCAGCCTTGGCTACCCAAGACCTTGTCTCACAACCACCACCACCAACAAAAGAAACAGCTGGTATCATATGCTTGTAATCTCAACACTTCCAGAGACAGGAGAATCCGCTGCAAGTTACGAGCCATCCTCACGTACATTGCGAGTTCCAAGATTCCCAGAACATAAACCAGGGATGACAGCTTGAAGTTTACAGAAGAAAAAAGTGAGGCCTCAGGGGCATAAATGATCTGCTTCTGCCATACTTCGTGGTCACACTTCATCACTGTGGAGGCTTGTGCCAGAGCCCAGATGTGGACTCTGGACTCCTGGGCTTGCTCCCCTTCCTGCTTCTCTTCGCAGCACTGGGATTGGTCTTAGCTTTGCAGTTTAGAGAACAGATTGGCCCTACCCCTTATGATAACTTTGGACAGATCACTTAATCGATCTGTGCCTCTGTTTCCAGTTCTGTCCAGGGACATTGTGAAACAGTAGCTCTTGTGTCCAGTATTTCTGAGTGTGTTCTTCCAGCCATACAGCATCAAATCCTCAGCCGTTACGGTGTAGTGTCGCCCTTCCCACGCTGTGTGTGCCCTCTGTGCTTCATGCTGCACGCAACGCTGCATTGCTGTGAGGAGTATGGAGATATAAAGAAATCCAGGTCTCACCGTTAGTCCCAGCACTCAGGAGGCAGAGGCAGGCAGATTCTGAGTTCAAGGCCAGCCAGGGCAACACAGAGAAGCCCTGTCTCAAAACCAAAAGGGGAAAGAAGTAAAATGAAGAAAAGAAATTCAGGTCTCAGGAATAATCCATTCTGTGGGGGAAACCAGGCAACAGCCAGCATCAGGACCTAAAATCGAAAGTCTAGCTAGGCATGGGGACACATCCCTCTAATTCCAGCAGTCTGGGAGGCTGAGACAGGAATGCCTTGAGTTTGAGGCCAGTGTGGGCTACATAGTGAGTTCCAGCCAACTTAGTCTGTAACATAAACCCTTGTCTCAAAAATAAAGCATAGAGGGGCTGGAGAGATGGCTCAGTGCTTAAGAGCATTGCCTGCTCTTCCAAAGGTCCTGAGTTCAATTCCCAGCAACCACATGGTGGCTCACAACCATCTGTAATTAGGTCTGGTGCCCTCTTCTGGCCTGCAGACATGCACACAGACAGAATATTGTATGCATAATAAATATTTTTTTAAAAAGCATAGAATCTTCGGTAGTAATAACAACAAATCAGGTTCAAGACCAGAAGTATTTGGAGGAGGACTTTGGTCATGGTGGCCTGAAGGAGAGGGAAGAGCACCTCAGCTTAAAGGCCTGTGATCTCATTGATCTGACCCAGCTGATGGAGGAAACCAGTAGCAGTGGGAAGGAGACAGCTCCTGTGGGGCCTGACCACTGAGAAGACCTGGGCTTTATACTGTGGGACAGAGCTTCTTAGAGGTTCTGATCCTTGAGAGGGACAGGATCTGAGTGTGTACAAGTGTTTGACATTAAGAATGGAACACACCATCTTGTGAGAGCTAGCTAAGAACTGTACCACTGAGCCACACCTCAGCCTCAAGTTATAGCTTATTTTTTTTGACTGAGTCTTGTGTAGCCCAGGCTGACCTCAGATTTGCCATTTACTCAAGGATGACTCCAGACTTCTGAACTGTGTCCTATTGCTGAGTGACAGGTTTACAGGCACATGCCACTCACACAGTCTTAAGTTTTATAAACTTTTGTATTTTATTGTATGGTTTCAAGAATTTCATGCACATGTATATTTTTTGTTCACCTGCTAAGCTCTCTTGCCCTACTCTCAATGATCCCCTCTTCTTCCCAGCTAATCCTCTTTCTTTCTTTCTCTCTTTCTTTCTGTTTTTTTTTTTTCCTTGAGGCAGGGTTTCTCTGTGTATCCCTGGCTGTCCTGGAGCTCACTCTGTAGACCAGGCTGGCCTCGAACTCACAGATCCACTGCCTCTGGAGTTGTGGCATCATAGACGACTCCTTATTTTATTTTTAAAATCTGCTGAGTTGCTTGCCTGTGTGTGGGTGAGGGGTTATATTTGCCTTACCATGGGCACCTTGAAGAATATGTCTGTCTCCCTTCCTCCAGCAGCTGTTAACTGCAATAGTTCCCCAAGGCAGTCCTGGGTTATATTTTAATAGATCTTTGGTAATTACTGGCTGAGGGTAGATACAGGGAGGAGACAGCTTCCATAGTGCCGTTTGGTATCCTTTAATCTGCAATGTGACTTGGCACTGAAAAAAAGTTTGCTAGCAAGCCTGTAACGCCAGCTACTCAGGAGACTGAGGCAGGAGAATTTAAAATTCAAGACCAGCCTGGGTACTAGAGTGAGTTCACAGCCCACACATCTTTTGAGACCCTGTTTCAAAGTAATGAGTAAAAAGGAAAGAAGTAGCTAGAGAGGCATCACAGTGGTAGAGCACTTTCTAGTACAGGAGGGGGGTGGAGTCAAGCATTGCTACCAGTTGGGAGAGGTAAGAGGAAGAGAGTTTCAGGAGTTCAAGGTCACCTGCAGTTAAATTGCTAGTTCAAGGCCAGCCTGGGCTACTTGAGGGTCTGGTGGCCCTGGTCACCACTATTTCTGTCCACCCTTGTTTTTCATGACATTCATATTGGGTCCCAGTGGTCCAGTATGGAGTGTTACAGTCTGGAGCCTTCCCCAGTTGAATTTGAGTCCTGTGGTTTTGGCATGGACCCCACTGGATGAAAGAAAGAATTGAAAAGAAAGGTCCTGACTGGTCCTGATGTGGTGGAGGAGAAAGTTGACTGTAGACGTGTGGGAGTGCGCAGTCAGAGGCAGGGACATCTGGGGGGGTCCAGGGTGGACAGGACCCTGAGCCATGTGAGGGGAGGGGAACCAGGTACAGCCAAGGAATGTTATAGGCACCTCAGCCATTTGTCCTAGGTTTGAAGTCCAAGATCCACAAAGTATGGTGTGTCCATATCTATCTAGGGAAGATTTGGTATAAACAAAGACTGCTCATTCGTTTCCCAGCCACCCAGACCTGAATAATCACACAGAAACTATTAATTACACCACTGCTTGGCCTATTAGCTCAAGCTTCTTACTAATACTTACATCTTAAATTAATTTTAATTTAATTTCTCTCTGTATATAATTTAATCTGTATATCACCACAAGGCTGTGGCTTACCAGTAAGTTCTGGTGTCTTTCTCCTTTAGCAATTACATGGCATCTCCCTGATTCTGCCTACTCTCTCTATATATATCAGTCTTCCAACCTGGCTATAGTGTGCCCTGCTATAGGCCCAAAGCAGCTTCTTTATTAACCAATTGTAATAAAACGTATTCACAGCATACAGAGGGGAAAGCCACATGGATTTGGGACACACCATGCTTTGTGGTTATTCGCATGTATGGACAAGTTCTTGGCGTCTGTCTGTCGCTCACTTGGTGAGTTGTCTTGAGTCCTATGGTTATTGTGTCAACCTTGAAAAGAACCTTTTCTTTCCTCTCGGTGGTGACTGAAGGTCGAGCTGGCAGGAGTCAGGTAGGAGAGGGCAGATGGCAGATAGGCAGGGAGGACCCACCACTCCATTGATTCTGAGCTTGGAGAGCCCCCCTGCTAGGGTCCTGTTTTCTTTCATTCCATCCTTCCTGTCTTCTCACTGCCAAGTGCCTGTGGCTGTGGCTCAGAATTCCCAGGCGGTTCTCCAGGTCAGGTCTCTCTTACCACTGCTGCACGCACCTGAGGTTCCTGGCACTCAGCAGGGTAGGCTTGCCCCTTGTATCGTGTTGTACATTGTTTTGTTTTAATACAGGATGGT